CCAGCCGCCACGACTCGCCGACGACGAAACGAAGGACGAGCGCTCCGTCATCATGCTTCGATCCAGGCCATGCAAATCGCCTTCACACACACACACGAGCAAATCCACACATACGAACACAAAAAAAACGCAAGCACAAACGAGAAAAAAAAAACGAAAGGTATCAAACAGTGGAAAACAAACAAGGCGTAAAAATCAGAGATCTTGAAATCGACCATGAAATGGACATTTTTGAGACGTATGAAATGTTCGTTCCCAGACTTTTCGAGGTCCTCCTGGGGAACTTCAGCTCTTCAAATATTTATTTTATTTTGAAATTGAATTCATTACTTCAGGTTTCCCGATTTAAAAAGCTGCGCAAGGTGAAAAATAATTTACTGAATATTATAAATGAAATCAGCAAAACACTATCCATAAGAATCTTGAATCTTCGATGTTCATTCCAGGACTGCTTTCAATTACAGTATTCTTATGGGCATACGAGCTGAAATTATCAATAAGAAATTTTTTGAAACACTGGAACCGGTGTTTTATGGTTTTTCCTCAGACAAAATCGGTTGAGACAAGATTAACGTAAAGCGGATAAATCCAAGAAAGCACGCGATTTTCTTTCCTTGGCGACTTTTCGCGGATTTTAAGGATCATAATTCAGGATTTCGAATCACAGATATTTGAAAATTTACATTTAAACTTACGACCTTGATCTCTAAAATATCACACAGGTCTCCCACATCAATAATCAATCGTACAAAATAGAGATATACTGAAGTGATTTAACGTAATTTGAATAAAGTTTTCTGTTCATTCATTCACATAGCTGATGTGACATTAACATTTTTTCTACAATATCCATATAAGACAATTTTGAATGCACATCATAATTATGACTCATTGGGGGTGTGACAGAATAATTTGTTACCTTATTGTACCCCTATTAGTGCACATGTACAATAAAAGTAGTTTGCAGAAATTACAAGAATATTCAAATTGGACCGCTGTTATAGATGGCAGCCATGTTAATAGCATACTAGAGATTTTAGTCTGTGCCTTTCAAGGGTTTCAACTAATCAGGTGCAGCAGCACAGATTCTCAAGGAGAAGAATTCCCAGACAGTCTGTTATCCGACTTTTAAGCCATTAACAATGATGTGTGATTCTCTGTGAAATTACCGGTGTTTTGTGAAACCCGTTTTATCTCTTTATTGGGGAAAATTGAAATACATTTATTGGTTTATTTTTTTGGGATTTGCTATTGAAATCCCCAGCTGCTCCCCACAGCTGAATGATGAGTTGAATGAATGAACATAACCCTTTATTCACCACTTTTCAGCGTTCACAAGGTTCAATCAAGATTCCCACATCCAAACCCCCTTCCCACTCAACCCAAACCCACTCAATGACATTCAATGATGTGTTTTATTTTCAAATCTATATACTGTTTTTGCCTCCTTTTCTGATTGTAATTCACAGGGGGTTTTCTTATCCTCATCATTTCAATAAAAGATTATACTCATGGTGAAAAGCTTCTGCATATTTTAAGGTAAGATAAAAACATGATACGTGTCTTGTTTTCGGTGAAAAATGGAGGAAACCGGACGTGATTCGAGTATCCTGGTTTTTTATGTTTTTACGTATACTTCTGCGCATGCAGAAAAGCATGACGTAGTGTGAAATATGTTGCCGCACGTCTCGCGCAGAAATTTCCGCAGAGCCAAGCCATAATTTCGATACACGAGAAAAAAATAAGCAAGGGAATTTTTTCTCGCGTACATCATCGGAAAAGGGGAAAAAAAAAACCTCCGAAGATCGATCCACTGCAGAAAGAAAAAGAAAAAACTCGATGGTTTTGCTGCATCTTCGTCCACAAATGAGGCTCGAAGACGACGTGGATGTCGTTTTTCGCCCTGACGGATTGATCGAACATCGCCTCGTAAATCTGCCATGTCCCTCCTGGTTATATTCCCCAACACTTTTCCTTCCTTTCTTTTTTTTTTCTTTGGCGTGACAAACTCGATTGTGCAAATGAATTATCGCGGGGGTTTTTGAGAAAAACTGCGCGCGGATTCGTCCAAGGAATTCCTTTTCAGTACGATGGAAAAGTGTCTCTTGACTTCAGAATGAATTTGATGTGCCCTGATCGGAATCCACATGAAACTAAACAGTCGCGATGTTCCAATTTTAAATGTTTTCTGAAGTTGTAACTGGACATTTTGTGGATTGTGTTCAGCTATCATGCTTGAACATGTTTACATGAATGGGAACATTACTCCGTCTTTTCTTGAAACTTTGTAAACCTGGCCTTTCTTTGCTTTTATATAGAGGCAAAAGCGCTGTTTTCCTAGACGCTTGTGAATTTACTGCACTTGGGATACCCCATGTTTACGACATTTTTATGATGGATATAAGACAAAAATTAGCATTCTGAGATTTGAAAATGAATGCGGGAACTAAATCCCAACATAAATTCAAAGTGGGTTGAATAACATTTTTCTTTCATATTGTTGCAGAAAGGGGGGATGGTGTTATTTATCTAAGCCTTAGTGAATGAATGAATGAACAGAAAGCTTTTTTTTTTGCTCTTCAGAGTTCACAAAGATCAAGCAACATTTGGTACTTTCCTGTTATCTCAGTACCCATTTTTCTTTGTCTGGTGAATTCAGTTTTTGTTAGGTTAAATTAGGTCAGGTTATGTTAATTGAAAGATATTTGTAACGAACATAACCTGACCTAACCTAACTTTACCTAACCGCCTCCCAAAATCAGTTTCAGCAGAATGCGAAAAAATGAAATTCACAGTTTCTGGTAGGTGCACGGAAAGTAGGTACTGAGATAACAGGAAAGTACCAAAATTTTCAACTGAAAACCCCCTGTGCGCACCTTACTCGAGGGCGCGTGGTACTCGAATAAATACGGTACTTCCTAGAAAACTTTCAAATTCTCAATGCTCCCATTTAAACATGACACCCTACCTCTTCCTCAGTCACCATCAATTAAGGTTACAAACACTTCACCAAATTGTTTTCTCGCGGAGAATTCCGACCACCACCCGGCAGAAGCCTAATTGTACCAACAGTAAACCTTAAAAAAAAAGCTCCCCGTACAGATCTTGAGAAACAAAACAACAAAACTTACGACTGTCCCTGGTCGGGCTAACGGGCGACTCAATACTCGACGGGGCACGACTCGGCGGGAAGCCGCCGGGGAAGTGATGCGGCGCCCGCAGATGCTCGGGCATCTGCGGGTGGAAGTGGTGCAGAGGCGGTGGCGGCGGCAAGGCCTGCTGTTGGTGCGGATGACGGTGGTGTTCCACCGGCACCCGGGCCTGCCAGCCGCCACGACTCGCCGACGACGAAACGAAGGACGAGCGCTCCGTCATCATGCTTCGATCCAGGCCATGCAAATCGCCTTCACACACACACACGAGCAAATCCACACATACGAACACAAAAAAACGCAAGCACAAACGAGAAAAACAAAACGAAAGGTATCAAACAGTGGAAAACAAACAAGGCGTAAAAATCAGAGATCTTGAAATCGACCATGAAATAGACATTTTTGAGACGTATGAAATGTTCGTTCCCAGACTTTTCGAGGTCCTCCTGGGGAACTTCAGCTCTTCAAATATTTATTTTATTTTGGAATTGAATTCATTACTTCAGGTTTCCCGATTTAAAAAGCTGCGCAAGGTGAAAAATAATTTACTGAATATTATAAATAAAATCAGCAAAACACTATCCATAAGAATCTTGAATCTTCGATGTTCATTCCAGGACTGCTTTCAATTACAGTATTATTATGGGCATACGAGCTGAAATTATCAATAAGAAATTTTTTTAAACACTGGAACAGGTGTTTTATGGTTTTTCTTCAGACAAAATCGGTTGAGACAAGATTAACGTAAAGCGGATAAATCCAAGAAAACACGCGATTTTCTTTCATTGGCGACTTTTCGCGGATTTTAAGGATCATAATTCAGGATTTCAAATCACAGATATTTGAAAATTTACATTTAAACTTACGACCTTGATCTCTAAAATATCACACAGGTCTCCCACATCAATAATCAATCGTACAAAATAGAGATATACTGAAGTGATTTAACGTAATTTGTCTTCCTTTAAAATATGTCCATCTTCACGCGTATCCTTGAGCCAAGCTAGCCAAACAAAACAGACTTTATGGGCATCCAAAATGAAATGGAATTTCGGGAAACATTTAAGGGAGGCATAATGCAAAGAAAACATCAGAATCCTTAGTGAGAAGTATCAGCAGGCCACGTGAATTCTCAAATTACACAAGAAATGTGCCAAACAGACTCCACTATGAAATAATAAAATCAGCGAAACACTAACTCCCTCAATAAATAGCTTCGCTCCAAACCTATTTGTAAACTACTACTGATAAAAATAAGACTTCAAGCATAGATCATCACGGCAACGAAGAAACCGAAAAAAAAAAATAGTCGACTAGAAAGAATCAAGACAAGTAAAAAGGCAACAACAACAAAAACAAAACGGGACTCACTTTTGCTCAGATACTGGCTGCCAAAATTGCGTGACCGATCCAACGTGCTTGAAGAGGCTCCGGCCTTCCGATCAAAGTCTGAGATTCGTCTGGGCAGCGAACCGCTGCCCGAATTATCGCCCCGACCGTCACTTCCGGCGCTGCTGTCCATTCGCTTACCGCCGCCGCCGCCACCGGCGTCCAGCATCATCGACGCCAACTCCATTTGATCGTGATGCATCCACAAGTCCGGCGGCTTCTCGCATCTACCATTCCGACCAGATTTGTTGTTGTACCTGGACAAATATACAACAGTTGACCCTCGATAAATCGAATCTCACTGCGTCGAACTTTTCCAAGTCACTGTCTGAATTCCCTTAAAAACAATACATTAGAAAAAACCCTCAAACTCGAACACATTCTTCTTCAAACCTCAAAAACTGGAATTTTCTGGTGGCATTTTGGCTATTATTTTATTTGAAAAGGAAAGAGAAACGCAATAAACATGTAACGATGTGTTTTGAAAGGAAGTGAAAAAGTCATTGGGCAAATGAGTCCTTACTGTCGCAAATTTAGTCAGCCATTCTGAGGAAAACGACAATTTATCAGGTGGTTCTGCCTCGATCTTTGAAACTTAATTTCTCAAAAAGAGCGCCAGCGTTAAATTTGTTCCACCGCCAAATCATGGAAGGAGATTTGGTATTCTGCCAAAACTTGTTCTTGGATGCTTCCGTGCAAATTAGGTTTCCCCGTAACTCCCACAAGAATCTGTAAAATGACCAATTGTAATAAAATCCCCAAATCTTTAGAAACTAAAACTGGCTGGAAATAGAAAGAGTTAAAAACAGAAACTCAATATCTAAAATAACCATTGCAGAGAAAATATTCCATGCCCTTGAAAGTAACTCTTCTCAAAAATCTTATCTTTAAAAACTTCACTTCAATTCAAGCATTGATACTGCAAGAATCTCCCGAGTACTTGGCAAATTTGGTGACTCGTAAAAACCTTATCCAAGAAAATATACCAACTTCAGAAAAGGGTGTTCAGCTCTGTCTCTCTTCTGGTTGTAGCCCAACCAAATTCTTGCATTTTATTTAATCCTCATAAACTTTGAAGTTCTTCTTCTTGACACTTGCTTCCAAGTTCAGCAGCATCCTGTCAACTCTTTCAGGATGCAATTTAAGGCCCAGATTATCACCATTTGCACTTTCTGCAATTCTTATTCCTTTCCCCCCAACAAAAATAATTGCTTTCTTCAACTTAATCCCCCCCCCCCCCCAACTCGAATTTTTAGCTGGTCCCTTCATGTTACATTTGAAGAGGTTCTACACTTCCACTCTGTGAACTTTGCAAAAATGATCAAAGTGAAATGTTCTTTTGCAAAAGGCATCCGATCGTGATACTCAAAACATCCGCTATTTCAGTTCTTTCTTCAAGACACGCACTCGAAAAACATCAATAAATAAACTATTTAACGTTTCGTGAGCCATGCGAGAAGGTTGCCGGTAGTATTGGGGAAATTCGGTGTTGCGCAGAATTGGGATACGGTGGTTGAACATGGATTGAATTTGCTTCCTGCTTCGAGTAGATTTTACGCCAGTAAGAACCAAGTTCCACTTCGTCAGTTTCCTCGCGTCTCGAATTTTACATAGATATCGGCAACGAGAATAAAACCGACATCACGAGAACACTTGGTAATAATGAGATTCAAATTCTGTACAAGCCAGTTGATTCTCGTATGCTGGTAAGAAAACAGGTCCTTCTCACAAAAACGAAAAACATCAATAAATCAAAACTCCATGATTTTTTTTTCAATCACAAAATCAACGTCACTTCACTTTTATTGCACAAAAGAATCTCGTTAGAATGAAGGACGATTACAACGAGGTCATTTTTTAGGTCCATGCTCAATAGATACGATGTTGAAAGAGTTAGTTCTTTTATGATGAATTGTTCTTTACAACGAAGCTATTTTACTGGTCCCAATGGCTTCGTTGTAACGAGAATTTACAGTGTTATCTTCATGCAACAGGTCTCCGCTATGTGACCTAATACTCGGCTACTTCGGTAAAACTTGAGTTGAGCTCAAATCAGCTTTGAATAATTCATTTTCCGTCATGCTAGTGAACGTGTCAGATGATTCAGAAAGCATCGAAGCGAAGTGAACCATAAATCCATACATAGAAAGTATCCAACAAAAACTGTAGATCGGCGAATTGAAGATACAGCAGAAAATTTCTCCGCGTATATTCGATGCTTCTCAGAATAGTGAATTTTAGATTCGTAAAAATTGAATAAAAAACATTGTTGTTTAAAATGAAGAGCGCGGAGAAAGAAAAGAAAAAGCTGTTTTCTGCGACCACTAAAATTCTTTTTTTCTTTGGCAGACTAGAAAGAATGTCGAACAGGACACAAATTTGAGGTAAGAGGGGCTTTTCAATTTCTTGAACTGTGGAGATGAAATTTCAGAAGAATAATTTGCAATACAAAAACTATAAACTACACAGCGGCATTTAAAATAAATTATCTCATTGTCGGATTAGAACCCGCTAAAATCCCTCTTCAAAAGATAAGCGAAGCGCTTTTCCGTTCCATTAAAATACGTTCAGCTATTTACCGACAATTCCGCACATTAATTCGAGATTATATTTCCAAAAAGAAGCCGAAGAGTTTCGGACGATGAAAAATTCGCACGTCTTCTTGCGGAGACCTGAACCACGACTACCTTCACAATCCAGGTTCTCCTTCTTTCTTCCTTTCCCCAATTTCAAAATTGTATCTCGAAAACGCGTGTTCGCATTTTCCCACTGGAATTTTTTTTTTTTTTTTACGGACCATTTCCGCCCCGCGCTCATTTCCTAAAATTCATTGGACACAAGAAGGCTCTTAAAAGGGCAGGAAACCCATCAATTCAGTCTCTTGCGCCAATCCAAAGCATTTCCACAGCCCTCAATTCCCAGATCTCCAGACCCAGCAGCTACCGTCTGCAGTAAAATACTTCCCCCAGGACACATTTAATGATTATTTTCCCCCCGAAATGCTCAGAGCTCCTTTTTGAAAAATTTAGCCTTTTCCTTACAATCCCAGACGTCTACCAAAAAAGGGGGAAGATTCGTTTTAAAGAAAATTGTAAGTTCAGAAAATCCTGATATACGCCTAACTTTCAAGTAATAGGTTCTCATCATCGGAGAAATCGATGGGGCCATAAGGACTCAGGACTCTCCTCTGGAGTTCCCAGGGGGACTAGCGCGGACAGTCGTCAAGTATGACCAATGATTTAAGGAAATGAATGCGTGATGGACAAACGAAGAATCCAAATCCGTTGGCATTTCTGCCAGAAGGGAGGTTCAATAAAAACACGACGAAAGGGCCACAAAGAAGAATGGGCTGAAATTGCTGCGATTCACAGTGAAGACCTCACATTTTTTTTTTCCAAAAATGCAAGGCTTCGATATTACAAGCTTCAATAAATCGATCTTACAAAATCACAACAACTGATTCAATACAGAGTTTTCAGTTGAGAATCGAATTTTTTTACCGCAATATCTCTCAAAGAAAAAATTGCACAACGCATTGCAAAATTGGAAAACTTCAACTTTTCATGCTTATCCAAACCATCGCTTGGTTCCCGCAGTTCAATGCTTAACGTTATTCGCAGATAAAATTATTTTCTCGGAAAAAAGGCGTTCGTCACACGAGAAATGAGTCGTATGGGTCAATGGGGAGAGGTTGTGAACGCGCATTTATTTAATGAAACGTTTGTTGAACGAGGCACCCGTGTACAGTATACATGAAATACTATGGTACTCACCCTAGCCGCCGTACGTCGTCCTTGCGTTGTCTAACTGCTCGTCGGTAGCACACATACACGCACAACATGGCGATGACAACAATGAGCGCAGAGCCGACCCCGGCCACCACCAAATACACGACCGCCACTTCGTCGCGACGTCCGCCCGGATCCGAGGCGGCCGAACCAGCCGGGTTCACTGGCTTTCCCAGACGTCCGCCAGACAGAGACCCCGTGCGGAACGCCACGGTGGACGACTGGGGTCCGGTGCCCTTTTTGTTGCTCGCTTGGATACGGAAGTAATAGGTCGTGTCTTCCTTCAAATTGGGGATCGACATCGACATCCGATCGCCGCTCACGTCGTCCAGCACCCATCTACTCAGCGGCAGTGACTGGTCCGTAGAGTAATAAATGATGTAGCCTGAAAAATAAAGTCAAAACGATTAGTTTAAAAATATTCCCATGATGCTGAAAGCAGTTTTCTAAATTTAAACAAAATTTAGAGTCGCTCCAAAATACAGTACAGAGAAACTCCCATCATCCCGGCTCTGTTTCCGTCGAAATCCAATTACTCATGCACACCATAAGTTTTATTGAGCGGACACCAGGCGACTACTGAACTTTTAAAGTTACAGTAAAATGTTCAATTTGATCACTTTCTTCCCCTCAAAATTGACTTATGATCCTAGCGAATACACTGTTGAATAAGTCAAAGGCTGTAAGTTAGACTTTGAATAGTCTTTATACCTGTTGAACGAAGCTTCAGACAGCATCTGATTAACCGAGGATTTCGAAAATGTGATATCAGCCCGCACAATAAGATTTATCATATTTTATAGACATATTGTACATAATTGTCTTATGCAGTAAATTTCGATTTGCAGATACACAATACTATTTTCAATATTCGAATGCCATTACTTAAATTCAGCACTCGCAATGTGGAATTATTTTTAAAAATGTACAGACGCAAACTGACCTGAAATGCGTCCGTTCGGCCGCTTTGGTGGTTGCCAGTTCAAGGTGAGTCCAATCGTGCCATCAACAGTTGGCGTGGACACAATAGTCAAATCCTGCGGCGGGGATCCCGGCAATGCCTCTTCTGTGGAATTCTCCACGACCATGCTCCATCCGCTTTGACGGTCATCCTATACCACGCGTTGAAAAGAAAAAATTATAATATTCGTAGTTTCCAGTGGCAAAATAAATCCTTAATTAAGCACACTCTGTTCCACAAGTTCTTAAAAATTCGTTTCTCGCTCGAAAGTGAATCGAGCGGATATCACAAAAAAATCGAAGTTACTGCTTTCGTTTTTATCGACATGATCTTGAACCGAAGCATAATTCTGAAAAGGAATACACAACAAAAAGCCTTTCTAAACGCGGGTGGATTCAATCGTGAAAATGGTATTACTTGAACATCAATACGGCACGATACAATTTCTAATCTTACTTCCAAAACACTCATTTAATCAATTTAAATATTTTTATGCTTCGTGAAAGTTGACATCCTTCAAATTGAATGATAAATTTCCTGAACCAACATCGAAAAAATTGCAGAAGACCTAGTTCTAGAGAGACTCGTAACTATTATTGAGAAACACGAAAAAATTTTACACCGAAAATACAGTAGCAACGTCCATTTCAGTTACAGTAGGCTCTCCCAACAATAAATTTGGCAGGAACGGGTCCTCAGTCCTTAAATGAAATAATCTGTTATTTACATTAGAGCGATCAACTGAAGAGCAAGTCACGGAAGGACAGGCATAAAAAAGAACACGCACGTAAAATATAATCAATACTGCATAAACGCAATTTAACCTGACCTATTCAAGCCTGACATGACCAATTTCCGTCTAGCCTTAACGTGACCTGATCGTGTACGACAAACAAAATAATTTGTGGGACTGCCTGTTTAAAATAATTGCCCTTTCGAGATACACAGTATTTTTCTGTTGCACGTCATCAAATACTCACCACGGTCACGCGCACGCTGAATTCGTAACGGGTATTCGGACGCAAATCGTCCACCATGCAACTCATCTGCGTCGTATTTTTGTATCTGTACTTGAGGCCAGGGCCAGCAGCGTGCGAAGCATAGCGCAACGTGTAAATCCGCTCCTCGCCGAACGTGTTTCGCGACGACGACGGTTGAATGGTGTCAGACCAAAACACCACGATCGTTGTTTCCGAATGCACGACGGCCTTGATGCCCACTGGCGGATACAGCGGCGCCGCTGAGGACGACTCCTCTTCGATCGCAGCACGGTCTCGGGTGCGGACTTGTTCATACACGGGCTGTCCGTCTCCTTTTTCGTTGTAAGCACGTACGCTGATGACATATTCGGTGTTCGGTTCTGCGGATGAAGGAAGTTGGAACATGAAAATTATATCGAAATTTACTCACACAGAAGAGGCCGTGCAGTATGACGCGTGTCTCTTATTTTTATTGCTCAGAATTTAAAACAATTTCGCTTACGAATGTAAATCTAGCTCCACTTGAATCCATTTTTTCAAGATTAATGATCACTATCTACAGTCGGGTAAAAAAAGTATACTCTGATAGGAAAGTTTCTACGAAAATGTTTTCGTGTGATTAAATGTCATTCGAAGTCACAAAGTCATTAATAATAACACCCCGAGTTTTCCCTCAAGCTTTGCTTCGTTCAAATCCTCGATTGCTTGGAATTTAGGCAAAAAATGAGGTGGACCCATCATTTGCCTACGTTGTAAGATATTTTTTTCGGAATCTCTTCAGTATCAAATATGATGCCGAAGAACTTCGAGCAAACGTTTCAGCTGAAATTGAAAGAATAAAAAAATTGATTCCGTCATCGTCATCGCTATCAATAGCGTCTTAACATTCGTAGCAGTTATGCCTGTTCTAGAAAATGTTCGCTGTATGAACAATAAAGCGGCGAAAGAAATATTCTAAATGTAAGAAATATTTCAGAAGGAAAAACGTACTTAAGCCTTGAATTTCGTAGAACCGTTGCTTCCCGTCGACCAAGTGTTTGTAGGTGTCTGGAAGACCTTCTCCGTAACCAATCGTGTATCCAGAGATCTTGATTGTTCCATCTTTCGGTGGGGACCACAGCACCATTATTGACGTGGGCATCGGTCTCACTAAAAAGCAAAATTTCCGTAAAAATTAAACGCAGTTCACCAAAATAATTGAAACTTCGCTCTAGCCATTGCGTATATTTCTCACGAAGCTTCGAAGTTCAAAAGTTGGAAAATTCTTCCGAAAGCTTGATGAGAGGCTAAGCCTAAGACATATTTCCGAAATTTTACTCGTTGAGCATATCGAATGCACTCCGATAATATATTCTGCGACGAACATTTTTCTGCAATTCAAAACAAAAAAAGAACAAAATTATTGAACGAAAATAATCTCCATAGTTCTTCGCGGCAGTGAAAGCTTTCCCAAAAAGGCGCCTTTCAAGAGAACATGACAATTTTTGCAACAGGCACTTCGCAATAATTTTTCCTCGGAATGAAAATTCAGATCGGAATACAATTAGTAATTCAGAATTATTTCTCAACAAGGCTTTGAATGTGAGTCTCAACCTGAAAATGTGTCTTTTTCGTAGTTCATCTTTCAGTTTACTCCACACTGAAATTTCAAATTCCTCAGTATTCTTTCTCTTGATTCTCACACTCTTCTACGCTTTAGTCACCGATTTTAAGTTGTTCTAATCTTCAAAATTTAACAAAATTAGACTTTCCATCACCAAAAACATTCACTAGTGAAAATTTGTGATTGAAATTAATACACTTTTTAACGAAGTTGGTATTTCAACGAAAATAAAAATTATTCCCATAATGAATCTGTGTCAATTTTTTGGAGGAAAGGAATGGACTAAGACCGGTCTCATTTTTGGGACATCACTCGGCAACCTCGATTTTTTCCATTCTAATACCACGCATGATCTGGAAAATATCACAGAAGACACTAGCGAAACGTGTCCCTCCGATCGAAGAGCCCTGAAACACTGTACAGTACCTCTTATAGAACCCGGTGCTTCAGGGACAACATCTTCCCGGAGGTCGTTGTCAAGTGTGGAGGCGTAAACCCATTTCGTCGCCGGGCCGGATCCGTTCACGGTTGTCGCGGATATCCGGAAAGAGTATTCCGTGCTTTTATCCAAGCCCATGACAGCGTACAACCTTCGTTCCGCATCTGTAGTCACCATCTTTGCCACTCCATTGCTCCCTTTCTCCTTGTACCTAAGTTTGTAGCCAGTAATCCTGCCGTTCGCAGTTCCTTCCGGCGGCGGCTCCCATCTCACTACGATACTCTGGGAGTAAAAAGTCAAGCGATAAGAATTTTTGCGCTTCCTCAAATGATGACGAAACAAACAGCTCGATTTAATAAAATTAAATTAAAAAGTGCGAATATGTAAGTATTCACAATTCTCTTTTAAGAAACGTGCCAGATCATGAAAACGTTAGCTCCAGATACCCTCGAAATTTCATTCGTGAAATCTAGAATAAAACGCGAAAGATGAAGACTTTCATCGTATAATAAAATAAAAGTAAAAAAAAAATATTCAGAAATTAGGAAAACAATGTTCAACCCTAGCGTCAACACCGGAACAGTTTTCATCCACCAGAAACATTTTGTTGGCAGCCGACAGAAACTTCCGTTTTTTCCTGCATGAAGAACGCTTTTCATGCAATTTATTATATAAAAAAAATCTGTTGTGACCAGAGTCCATTGCGCAAAAAATCCATCACCAGCGGTATTAGTGCTGTACTGAACATCGAATCCTAGCAGAACACCGTATTTACTCGAGTACCACGCGCGATTTTTTTTCCTTCAAAATTTCGGAAAAAGGGGGTGCGCGTCATGATGGGGATACAATTGTCAAAAATGTTAGACGTTTAGGAGTGCGTCACACTTGAATATAATGAGAAACTTTCGACAATAACTTTAATACAATTTTTAAAATGCAAAATTCATTGAATTCAGGGTGAATTCGCGTTAAAATTTTAATTCTGGTGTCTCTTATTTTTGGAACATCATAATTTATCAGTCACTAAAAAGGGTGTGCGTCTCTTACACGGGGATGGGATTTCATCAGTATTTAATGGTGAAGTGCGTGTCTTTCGCGTTACTAGAGTAAATACTGTACGGTATGTAAATCCGATTATGCTCACCTTCGAACTTGCAGCTTCCGCCGTGAAATTCTGAGGCGCCTCCGAAGGAACATCCGAAAAGGTTCTCACAGTCACGTCTTCCGCAGCTGTTCGGGAATTTCCTCCTCCAATCCCGACCCAAACCGTGTACATCGTATAAGGCCTAAGATTTCGGAGTATGAAAAACGGGTCAAACGTTGTCGCCAGCTTCTCCTCGGCGGCGTCTTCGGCCATGTAGGACAAGAAATATTCCGTCCGACCGCCATTCGCCGATGATGGCGCCCAATCCACTCGCACCGACGTGCTGTCCAAGGCTACGGCTCTCACGTTGAACGGCTTCACGCTCGGGGGCCCGAATCCAGACAATTCCGGAGCTGGCCCAGAGTCGAACACAGATGGCTGGGTTTTCGTCACGATGGATGCCGGGGAACCGACGGGATTTGAATCGGCTCCGACGGCAACGACGCGGATGTCATACCGCTGATCGGGTATCAAATCGTGCAGAAGAACTTCCGGCTTCGTCGCATTCTTTTCTCGCTCCCTTTGATCAAAAGAAAAATAAAATGCGTCAGGAAATTCGTCATATATAGGTCAAAATGAAAAAAAAAATGTTTTTATGCCAGCAACATCTCAAGCAGAAAAACCTTTGAACTTGAATCATGCTGAGTTTTTTGGAGCTTACGCAATCAGGAAATTCGTGGAAACAAAAATCATTTTTAAACAGCGACGCATAAACAGTAGAAAAAAAAAATTTTGAGGAGCGACGTTCTTTCGGCTTCTTCCCATAAACTTGTTCCCTTCCTCAAAAAAATAGAGCATAAAATATTTCAGGAAATCCACCATGCGCAGGATTGAACGGAAGTTGGTGGTCGCAATTTTCCTCATGTCCTGAATTAAATTTAAGCTTATCCTCCATAGTTTATACAGTGAAGTATATTCCATTCGGTGGTTGATAATGCCATAGAAAAAATGGAAGGATTGGTCAGAAATATGTTCTTTTTTCTCGGGGATGATCAAACGAAATACAGTACAGTTTTTAAGCATTATCTTCAATATATTTACGTACCGAGGGGAAAAGAAACTTTTGTAAAACTTAACAGAAATAAAACAATCGGAAATCACGTTCGCGAAAAAAATGCGGGGAACACACTGCTGTTTTAAAAATGTGAATGGAGGTGACGATTACATTGTTCGAAGTAACAATGACTCATCCCCGCATTTTCATGGATAAATCTGGACCACGCTGTGAATTAGGCCATGTAGCGACACCCCAATCTCATGATAATCCAACCGATAAGCCCATGACTATTGTTACGAACGGTCACTATCTCAGAATTCTTGTTCGCTTGTATGGGGGAAAAAATAAGTAGGGAATTACCTTCCCTTCTTTATCGTGTATTATTTTCCCCCTCCAATCATGAAAGTCAAGTCAAATCTTACCGATTCGATCCATGTTCCTTGTAGAAGACAAGGTAGCCAACAACATCGCCTTCTCGAGCACGTTCCGGTGGATCCCATCGAAGAGCAATGAAACGCACATTGACCGGGCCAGCCCTCAAGTTCCTCGGGGACAAAGACTCTGCCTCATCGACGCGTCGAACCTCTTCCAATTCTTCATCCTCTTCCCGAACTGAATCAGGAAATCAACACGGTCAATAAAAATCAAGGACATTCAAACGAAGAAAATCATGTCCATTCGATATGAAAAAAAAATTCCGAATCCGGTATCCGTATTTACGCGAATATAGGACACTACACATTCTCGTGCACGCTCAAACATGTTTCTAAAAGATAGTTCAGCATTCGGCAGTAAATCGAACTCGCACTTTCAATCGACCCGCATTGTGCCAAACAGTCTAATTGATAGTGGATATAAATATGCAAGAATGTTCATTTTTAAAAAGTTCTCCTCGAACATACTTGTAATACGTTGCGATGACCTGCTTTAATTGAAGATTGTTTTCTTGATTGAAGAATATTGCGATGACAATATCACGATCTTCTTGATCACTACGTTATTTCGAGAAAAATCACGAAAAAATTGTTAAATGCTCAAGTTTTTTACTTCCGTATTTCTTTCTGAACACGGCCAACACTTCTTCCAGAGAAAAAAAAACTATGAGAAAATAAAGATTGAATCCAAATTTTTTTCTGCAAAGGAAATTGACCTTGAAGACAAAATCATGACTACTAAGTCACTTCGGAAAATTCCAGGGATAAAAATGTTGCGAGCGGCCTCAGGTTTATTCTACGGATTTTCCGCATTTCGTTCTTATTACGGACTATTTTTCTCAAAGAGAAAATTCTGAGAAATATACTGTAGTCAAGTCTCAGTCGGATTAGAGAACCAAGCGTCTTAGCTTCGCGAAAATGCATGCAGTACAGCCTTGCCTTGATCAAGAGTAATTCTAACCTTGCTGCATGCATTTACATGCAACTCAAGGCTAGTTCGAAACTTAACTTCTTCAAATCGATCAGAAAATCTAAATCGCGGCTTTGATGAAGTTACTGCACTCACCAGTATCAAAGTTTCCAGAAGATGCACTGGAAACAATGAGTCGCGCGGAAACTTGAGCGTTTCCTGCATCATTAGAAGCGAAGCACTGGTAAACGCCAGAATCCGCAGGCAACAAACCAAAAATTTTCAGATTCCTTCCGTTTACAATCTAAAAAAAAAAACGAAATCGTCAAGTGATAACAAATCATCCAAGGAGGGCTCGAGATAAACTCGGGGGCGATTCGAGACTTTAACAACCTTCAATTAATGAGACAATTTAAAAATAGAAACGTCACTGATGCAGCATATGCACAAATATACGCAGATAAAAACGCGAGGAAATCGAGACAAACCTGAAAATAGTCGCTTTCTGTGAAACCCTCGCCATTTTTGAACCACTGAATTGTTGGTGTGGGATGTCCAGCAGCCCCACAAGCGAGTTCCACGTCGCCCTTTTCTTTCGCTTCCGTACTTTGGGGAGTGCGGGTAAATTTCGGCGCCTCTGCAAGGAAATAATGACGAAAAATTCAGAAACAACATACAAACAAAAAAATTCCACGGAAACGAGAACAGCAGGTAAGCGCTGAAATGCTCCATGATAGACCAAGAATCGAATCACATTTGTTTTCAAGACCAATACCTCTTGAATGTTTATTACAGTATTGCCACGAAAAAAAAATGAAAAATTACAGTGTGTTCAAATCCTTCTGGATGATGTTCATATTTTTCCAGTCACATTTGAACCTCGATAACTCGAACCTCCTTACGTCGAATCCCTTTCAATGTCCTTTTTTGCAAATCTCCGTCTGAAGCAATGCATTAAAAACATATCTAACTCGAAGAATTTTCCTCTCAAACCTCTGTAACTCGAATTTTCTGTAGTCTTTCGAATATTGTTTCGACGCAGGAACGAGACAAGTAATAAAAGAGAAACTCCATGTGTTTTGAAACGAAATGAAAGACGAATGAACCCTTGCCTCCAAGTTCAGCATCCTGCCAACTCATTTCATACGCATTTTAAAGCCAAAAATACTGTATCACCAATTAAAATACCCTGCAAATTCATCTTTCTTTCCCACCAAAAATGTTTGTTTCCCTAATTTGAAACCTCTCCAACTCGAACTTTCTTGTTGGTTCTCTGAAATTCGACTTGAAAAGGTTTGACTGTACCTTCGAACGAAAAGCAATCACACATTCCAGGACGCCAACAAAAAAATTGATAATATCTCATCTGCGATGTAAAAAAGTGTGATCAATGATCCCAGAATTCATTGAAGAAGAGGAAAAACGAAAGAATGTACCGTACTTGCTCGAGGAATCGAATCACCTCGACAGAAAATATCAAAAATTCCGACCTTGAGAGGAAGACAATAGAACACAATACTGTAACACGATACAAGTCACACAAAGGGAGGCGGATACAATTCTCCGCGTGCTCACGAGATCAAATTCAACTGTCCAATCCTGCACTTCCATTAAAAAAATACTCTATTGTGCGAGTACTTCATTAAAAAAATCGCACACAGCAGCAGTCTCAATTTTAAAATGAATTCATCCGCAACGTTTTTTTTTAAAATTCCGATTACAGTACATGTAATGACTTTCTTCCACCTTAACGGCCCGCTATTGTATTACTGTATAAGCAGAACCGAAATGCTGAAATTAAACCGTACATGGAACATAGAATTACATCAACACATTCTGGTACTGTGCTACAGTACTTGTACGTTAGATTCCCGACGCATGCGTATACATCCTCAGTGGAGTTTTAGCTCGCTAATTTGGAGTATTTCGTCTTGTGTCAGATGCGACGTAGTTAATTTGTATTCCTTCTCAACCTATTAACATCCTCTTTTGGCTTATGTCATTATCGGATTATTATTAATGATTCGGGACATCGGGGAAATTACAGACTCCCGCCAAACGAAATATAACTTAGGAATCTTCATTATTGCTACATGTAATAAGGTTAATGAACTCGGCCCGTTATCTGCCGATAATTTCAGTACAACTCCCTCCTTTCAGTAGGATTCATAGAACGTTCATACAGTAGACTAGTACAGTACAGTACTTCGTTTCTAAAAAAGTTTCAACGTAGGGCGTCTATTGGGCAATAAAGTAAGTCATTCTTAATTATTTTAAAGAATTTAGCCATTAAATAGCCCATATAAAGGTTTCACCGTATTATTGTTCCTTTGAGCATCGTAAATGCATTTACTTTACATCCGCACGTACACTACTGGAAAAATTAGGGCATGTTAAAAAAACCATGGAATTATGACAATGCTGTATTTAAATTATTCGGGCCAGAAAAAGTGTACAGTATTTGTCAAATAAGTAACTAAAACATTATATCCGCAATATATGGATTTTCAAAACTCTCAAACAAGAACAATGCGTGTAAACATGAAGAAAAATACACGACTTCTATCCGGTTACACTTCACCGGTATCTACGATGACCAGGCTTATCTCAAGATATTCTATATCCACTGAAACTCAAGAACTAAGAAGGAAACCTTCTACGACATCTTTCTTCAATCCGAGGATCAAAGGTAAAACTGGCAATCACAAAATTTGAAAGTACTTGAGATAATGCGATATCTATCAATAAAAACTAAATACAGTATACGTTTTATAATGGATAATTCCCCCAATACGAACAGCAAAATTTCCCTGGGGTTTCAATCATACGTGACTGAAAATTCCTTATTTTCTTCACGTCCGGGAAACCTTCGTCAGAAATTTTTTTTTCATTTTTATACAGGTGGATTCTCTGCAACGATCTTGTCTACAAAAATTTCCTCTTTATAAAAAATGTTGTTGGTCCCATATACAGAGGGTTCTCTCCCCATGTTATAGGCGTTTTTTTTTAATAAATCCTCTCTAGAAAGAATTGTTTTCTGGTCCCTTGAAAAAATATGAACTTTTGGAAGAGAAAGTCCTATTGTAAGGTCCACAAATTTAAAGAAAAAAAAATAGGTCGCACAAATTTTCCTCCCTAAAATGCTGGCTACTCAAAATCTGGATGTGGCATGTGCACAAAACGGTCTACACAGGTAGACTCTCACTACAACGGTTTTTTTCTAGCCCCCTAGAACAGTTCCCCTACAACATGGGTAGAGAACTCGATGCCTATGGGACCAGAAAGAAATAACTAAACAGAGAAACTTGTTGAGAAGATCCGCGTAGAAAGAGTCTACCTGTTTTTTTTTTATTCACATAACGTAGGTAGTGAATTCTCCCCAAAAGATTTTTCTGGTCCCCTTATTATCGTGCTTTACAACGGAATTCTCCCCACAACGAATTTTGCATGGTCTCCGTACATGATGTATTGTATGCATTTTGAAGAAAAAAAATCACTCTAACAATTAGTGTTCTCTGTCCAGCAACTTTTTTCGTGTCCAATAGGGTTCTCTACCCATGTTATATGGGTTCTCTACAAGAAAATTCACCAACAAATTTGTGAAGTCCCCTGAATTAAAAAAAAATATATATATATATTTTAAAAAAATCCTTGCGAAGTTAATTTTCCATTTCGAAATTTTCCAATAAATTTTTGAAGATCCACGAATTTTGAAAAAAAAGCATTAAAAAATCCTTGCAATGAGAATTCTGTTGCAGGGAACCCATATTACATGGGCAGAGAGCCCTATTGGACCACACACAAAAAAAATTCGTTAGAAAGAGAAAAATCGTTGTGCAGAGTCTTCTTGTACATGCATGGTACATTATTCAACAACGAATAATTGCTCTGACTCCACGTGATTTAAAGCAGGGCGCCCAGAAAAGAATCGTACACGTAAGAAAGAAAAAAAAAA